ATATTTATTCACCCAAACCATATTTGGTATCAATGTTATACCTAACAATGGTCTTCCATCACAACGGCCACCCCTCTGCAATCCGAAGCAACCTAAGCCTGAGCGATTGGCCCTCTTCACTGAGAAGAGGTTTTCCAAATAGATGAACGTCTGATAGCACCCAATCTCACGCTATCTTCTAAAGCTGTGCTGGCTGGGGAATTCTGGGAGTTGAAGTCCACAAGTCTTAAGGTTGTCAAGGTTGGAGACCCCTGTTCTAAAGCAGGGGTGTCAAATTGGATTTCTTCGAGGACTGGATCGGCGTTGTAATTCTCTTCCGCAGACCGACCCCGGGGGGGGGGGGGGCAGTGGTGTGTTTCAAAAGTTTTTCCTACCGGTTTGGAGCTTGCTTTGCATGCGCATGTGCCAATCGCGCACTTTGCACACACATGGGCAGCGCTCAAACCCTCTGAATCAAAGCTGGTGAGCTGCGCAGGCGCGCCTATTGCGCGCATGCCAGGTGTGCAAACTGCGTGTGTGCAGGGCTCAAAGACTGCCCTTCCCTGGTGAGCTGTGCTATTTTTTTAGCTCAGCTGAGGTGTGGCAATCCCTTCTGCCATGCGAATCAGCTAAGCTAATAAACAGCAGAATATACGAGAGGTGAGAGGTAAGAGCAGGGGCAGATGGACAGGGCCAGTCAAAATTTTCCCTACCTCCAAACCTGTCAAAATTTCCCCAACCGCTATGCCAGGACTGGGCAGAACCAGCTGAATACCACCACTGGGGAAGGAGGAAGGGATGGATGCGTCCTGCAGCATTCTGCTTGCCAAAACGGGTGGTGGTGTGTGTGTGCCCCATTTTCAGCCTGGATGGCCTCCTGCAGCACTTTGCCAGCCAAAACGGGGCACAGGAGGACATGTGCAGCCCACTCCGCCCTGTTTTGGCTCCCAGAGGCACCGCAGGCCAGTCCTTTGCTATTTCCAGGCCAGCTGAGTGGGCCGCATCCAGGGGTGGGATTCTACAGATTCGTACCTATTTGCTAGAACCGGTTGTTAACATTCTAAGCAGTTTGGAGAACCGGTTGTTAGAAAAAATTACTGGCCTAATCCTGTAAGGAAGGCAGGAAGGAAACATTCTGGTCTTGCTTAGAGAAACTGCCTCTCCATTAACCTTTATTACATTCTTGGCAGGACTAGACTTCCTGTCTCTGGAACTTCTCTGGAGTTTTTTTTTTCCTCCTTTGCTGGTACTTTGCTTGTGTGGAGTGACCATTTAAAGTTACAATGGCACTGAAAAAAGTGACTTATGACCATTTTTCACACTTACGACTGTTGCAGCATCCCCACAGTCATGAGAGGCCAGGCGAGGAGATGCGTGCCTCGATGTGAGTGATATTGAGTTGGCCACGCCCAGCTAGTCACATGACCACCAAGCCACGCCCACCCAGTCACATGACCACCAAGCCACGCCCACCACTCACAGAACCGGTTGTTAAAAATTTGAATCCCACCCCTGGCCGCATCCGGCCCGCAGGCCTTGAGTTCGACACCCCTGTTCTGAAGTATTCAGCTGCACCTTTTTGTTCAGGCCGCTCAGTTTTCTGCAAAGGTTTTGTTTGATTTGATCTCCCTTTCCTTTTGTTTCAGGCCTGGGAGAACCATTTGAGAAGGAACCGCTCGATTGTGGTCGACCTCTTCCACGGGCAGCTGAGGTCCCAGGTGAAATGCAAGACCTGTGGACACATCAGTGTCCGTTTCGACCCTTTTAATTTCTTATCGCTGCCTCTTCCAATGGACAGTTACATGCACATAGAAATAATAGGTGAGTGAGGAATCTTGAGTCACTGTCCTTGGTGTGGTTGTTTGGGGGGGGGAGGGAAATGGGCTCCATTTTGGAAGTTGGAAAATACCAAGAATTGGGCAGCTCTTTCCAGCTGGGATGTTCCAAATTCAATTCAACCAGAATAGAGCTGGAAGGGACCTTAGAGGTCTTCTAGTCCAACCCCCTGCTCAAGCAGGAAAACCTATACCATTTCAGACAAGTCTCTGTCCAGTCTCTTCTTAAGATCCTCCAGTGATGGAGCACCCACAACTTCTGTCCACTGGTTAATTGTCCTCACTGTTCGGCTGTTTCTCCTTAATTCCAGGTTGCTTCTCTCTTTGGTTAGTTTCCATTCGTTGCTTCTTATCCAGCCTTCTGGTGCTTTGGAAAATAGCCTGACCCCCTTCCTCCTCTCTTTGGCAGCCCCTCAAATATTGGAAGACTGCTCTCATGTCTCCCGTGGTCCTTCTCTTCCCTAAACTAGCCAGGCCCAGTTTCTGCAGCTGTTCATCATATGTTTTAGCCTCCAGTCCGCTCATCATCCTGGGTTGCTCTTCTCTGCACTCTTTCTAGAGTTTCAATATCTTTTTATGGTGTGGTGACCAAAACTGGATGCAGGTGTGGTCTTACTAAGGCTTTATAGAGTGGTCTTAGCATCGCACTTGATCTCTCTGTTAAGCCTGGATTCCCCAACAGGTGTAAAGGAAAACAAACTAAACAGAACGTGCAGCGAAGTCAGATAGGAAGACAGGTAAATGTGTGAGATAAGTTTTTTAGTTAACACGCAGTAAAAATACAGATACGCTTGTGCTATCAAAAATATAGTTTATTCCATTTAAGAATTATAGCATAGTCAAAATAAACGGTCCATTAGTCATATATCAATTTCAGTCAAGTCTTGTCGAGGATACTCTAATTGCAAAATCCGTGTTGAATAGCCAATGTCAGTACACTTACAATAAATCAGTCCAATCTTTATCTTCTCTCCGTTGAGAAAATATCAACACTCCTTCGGCAAGAACGCAGTCATCAATCCATCCAGTAATTAGGGATCTTCAAGCCAGAGAGAGCGAGCTTCAATTGCCTCGCTTCTTATATAGTGCTTTTACAACCACACCCTTAATTACATTCTTGCAGTTAAAGTTACACACACTTTAACTAACAAACCATGATACCATATTTATTATTTTTTACCCAAACCAGTTAGGGTAAACAATGTTATCCCTAACACTCTCTGTTAATGCAACTTAGGATTGCATTGGCTTTTTGGGCTGCCGCCACGCGCTATTGGCTCATACTTTTGAAAGGTACTTAAACACTGAAAACCTATGGAAACTTCTTTATATCAGCCCATCTCACCTGATCAGGCAGGGAAGGTATGTTGCAGACCCTGTCAGTTTAGGAATTCGGACGGAGGGGTCCAGGGAGAGAGCCTCCATTGCTGTTGTCCCTTCCCTGTGGAATACTTCCCCCACTGCTCCGAGGAGGCAGGACCCCATTCCCCTGGCCTTCCAGAAAGGCGTGAAAACATGGTTCTGTGGCCTTGTATAGGGAATGCAGAGAAACACAGAGCCATGGGCTGGTTGGAACCCTAAAAGGCCTCTTTTTGCCTTTCAATTAATTTTTAACATTGCCTTTAAACCAGGGGTCCCCAACCACCGGTCCCCGGACCGGTACCGGTCCGTGGATCATTTTTTACCGGGCCACAAAGCTTGGGTGCCGCCATCTTGTTTCGACAGCACTTCCAGGTTTTCGGTTGCTTCCGGGTTTTCGGTTGGAAAGTGCTTCCGGGTTTTCAGTTGGAAAGCGGCGTTTGGGTGCTCGCGCCTTAGTTTCGTCGAAGGGGGGGGCGGCTTCGAACGAAGAGCCGTCCCGATGGCGGTGGAGTCTCAGGTACCGGTCCATGGAAGAATAAATAATCGTGAAACCGGTCCCTGGTTCAAAAAAGGTTGGGGGCCACTGCTTTAAACCATCTTGCCTCTTTTTAAAATTTAACTTTTCTATCCTGTTATTTATTATTGTTTATTTATTTATTTTTATTTACTGTTTTTTTTTCCTCTTTTAATTTTTTACCGTAGTCTACCCAGGGTCTGTGAGAGAAGATGGGCGGTTCCAAAATGCGATCAATAAATAAAACTAAATAAATAAAGTGAAAAAACTTCTAAAAACACGCCCTTTTCTCTCTTTGTCTCTGCCCCTCCTTACCTTTTTTTTCTTTTTTCTTTTCTTCTTCAAGTAACTAAGCTAGACGGCACGACTCCCGTCCGATACGGACTCAGGCTGAATATGGACGAGAAATACTCTGACTTGAAGAAGCACCTGAGTGAACTCTGTGCCCTGAAGCCCGACCAGATCCTGCTTGCGGAAGTACACAGCTCGAACATAAAGGTGATCACGCGTCTGCAACTGAATGTAAACATTGACCATCCTCAGTCAAATGTATATTTCAATGAAACCCTAAGGCAGTGGTGGCTAACCTTTTTGGGCTCCTGTGCCAAAAATTGTGTGTGTGCTTGCACACTTGCACTTGCGTGCCAGCACCTAGAAGGCAATGCGCGTGCCCCCCCCCCCACATCCCCTACGCATGCGTGCTCAATCCACCCACCCACCCCGCCGCCCCCTTACCTGCACTGCACCTCACAGCTGATTTTCGGCCGGTGATTGTCACTTCCTGTTTTTCCAAGAAAAACCGGAAGTGAAAAACGGGGCTAGATTTCGGCCTACAAAGCTTGTAGAAGCCTGCAGAAGCCTTCCCCAAGCCTTTGGGAGGCCGAAAAAGGTCTCAAACTGGCCAAAAAACAGCCGTGAGGCTCGCACATGTGCAGTAAGGTAAGTTTGCCTGCAGCTGGCGTGTCGGCACAAATGGCTCTGCGTGCCACCTGTGGCACGCGTGCCATAGGTTCGCCATCACGGCCCTAAGGAGACAGGAGGGGACACAGCTCCTATATGAAGGGAGGAGGGGGGAACTGAAAATGTATTTGTCTCCTACAAACCTTGAAGCCGCCCTCCTCCTGTTTTTTCCACAACAACATCCCTGTGAGCTGGGTTGTGTCTTGAGAAAGAGAGTGGCTGGCCCAAAGTTACCTATCCAGCTTTCAAGCCTAAGGCAGGGCTAGAATTCCCAGTTGCCTGGTGATTGGCTCAGAGTCACTCAGCTGGATTCATGCCTAAGGCAAGATTAGAACTCCTTGTCTCCTAGTGATCCAAGTCACCCAGCTGGCTTTCATGTCTAAAAGGCAGGACTAGAACTCAACAGACTCCTGGTGATTGGCCTAAAGCTGGATTTGATGTCCAAGGCAGAACTAGAACTCACGACCTCCTGCTTTCCAGCTTGGTGCCTTAACATAAGGGATTCTAACCACAGGATTTCACTATCCTGCAGTTTACAAGAAGATCCAGCTGACGGGAGAATTGCAGAAGGACAGGGGAGCCCATCTGACACAGCCACATCTGTTGTCTCGACAGGCGAGTGTGTAATGAGCTCCCAGGATAACCCTCCTTGATACAACCCGTCAGATCTAAAGACAGGCTGGGCACATCGAGGCAGACGTCTCTCTTTAAATTCAAGTTTGCAATTCTCCCGTCAGCTGCTTCTGCTCTTTTGAAAACAGCTTTCCCTTCTCCCCTGGGTTTCAGATACCGACGGAAAAGCGTTCTCTTTTGCTGTCGGTCGGAGCACCGAATCCCTCAGCTTCCCCTACGGCTCTCTGAAGTGTCATCTTAATTATTAATCGCTCCTGGCTTTAATCTTTTTTTTTGTTGCTGCTGTTATTTCTCCCTCCCCTCCTCCCTGTTTTCCAAAGAACTTTCCACAAGACAACCAAAAAGTCCGGCATTCAACGACTGCTTCTTTGTGCGCCTTCGAAGTACCGATTCCCGGCTCTCCCACTTCGGCTTCTTCAAGCCCCTTGCAAACAGGTAAGGAGGAAAGGCCTTGATTCCTCTCCCCGCCCCCCTCCTCATCCCTCAAAAGTATGGGAGTTTTGTCTGACAAATTGGCAACGTTGCTTTTACTGTTGCTTGGCATTGGGAGTGAAAGTGAGCGCTCTTAACTTTCACTCCCTACTGAATTGCTTAATGCTGAGTAAAATGCAGGAAGGATGTGAACTGACTGGCATAAAAGTTCCTACGTGAAGATATCCTCTTCATGTTTCTCTCAACCAATGGCCCTGCCATCGAAAACCAACTTTTCCCTTCCCCTTCTCCTCTCCCATCTGCTCCTCCTTTTTCTCCATCTTTTTCTCTCCATCTCCTCCTCCTCCCCTTCCTTCTTCTCCCTTTCTCCCCTTCCTCCTCCCTTTTCTCCATCTTTCTCTCAAGCTCTTTCTCCTCTTCCTTCTCCTCTCCTCCTTCTCCACTTCCTCCTCCTCTTCCTCTCCTCCTCCTATCCCTTCTTACCCTCCTCTTCCTCCTTCTCTCCTTCCTCCTCCATTTTAGCCCTCTTGGAATTGGCACAATCAGTATACAGTTTGTGAAGGAGGAACATGTAAAAAAGACGTTGAGACTCTAGAAAGAGTACAGACAAGAGCAACAAAGATGATTAGGGGACTGGAGGTTGAAACATACAAAGAACGGTTCCTGGAACTGGATGTGTCTAGTCTTATGAAAAGAAGGACTAGGGGTGACATGATAGCAATGTTCCAATATCTGAGGGGCTGCCCCAAAGAAGAGGGAGTCAAGTTATTCTCCAAAGCAGGACAAGAAGCAACGGATGGAAACTAATCAAGGAGAGAAGCAACTTAGAACTAAGGAGAAATTTCCTGACAGACAGAACAATTAATCAGTGGAACAGTTTGCCTCCAGACCTTGGGAATGCTCCAACACTGGAGATTTTAAAGAAGAGATTGGATAACCATTTGTCTGAAGTGGTGTAGGGTTTCCTGCCTAGGCAGAGGGTTAGACTAGAAGACCTCCAAGGTCCCTTCCAACTCTGTTATTCTAAATTCAAATTCTAAAACGTTCAACAAATACTTGCTGCAGAATCTGGAGAACTAACTCAGTCTTCCTCACATACTGTTTCATTCTATGCTGGAGAAGCCCAGCATAGGATAAGACAATATGTGAGGAAGATTGAAATAGTTTGTTCTCGTTTTACAGCTTAGTTAAAGAAAATGGATCTCCTTAACGAAGGCGCAAGAAACTTTGCCCAGCTAAGGATCGAAAACGACCCTTAAGTGAAGATCTTCATACCAGGACATATTTTGATGACAGCCTCTTTGTGCTTGAGTTTTAGATTTTTACCGTGGACAGTCGACCAACGGGGTGATCAGCTGCCTGATGAATGGGGACCTCCCACGGTCAACCTTGATCCCAAATGGAATGCCAAACACAGTGGTGCCCTGCAGGGTGGAGAATGGCGTGACGATGAATGGTCATGTGACCTCACCTTCCGACAGCCCCTTCATAGGCTACATCATTGCGGTCCACAGGAAAATGGTGAGTGGAGAACAAGCCTTGCCCAAACCAGTAAGATGCTTTTGTCTGTTTCACATGAAGCAGCTACAGTCAAACTTTGCAAAGGGCCACCAGCTATTTGGAAAATATATCTGGGGTTCAGACATGAACTGTACCCATGCTGGGACCATTTGCTTGTCCATCTATGGGGTGGACTTCAAAAAAATCCCTCTGTTTGATAGAATGGAATAGGAATAGGAATAGAACAGAACAGAACAGAATAGAATATATGGAGTGGAATGGAATGGAATACAATAGAATAGCAGTTAGAATAATGGAATGGAATGAAATAGAACAGAAGGGAATAGGAATGGAATGGAATGGAACAGAATAGAATAGCAGTTAGAATAATGGAATGGAATGAAATAGAACAGAAGGGAATAGGAATGGAATGGAACAGAATAGAATAGAACAGAATAGAATAGAATTCTTTATTGACCAAGTATGATGGACACACAAGGACTTTGTCTTGGTGCAAATGCTCTCAGTGTACATAAAAAGAAAAGATACATTCATCAAGAATCATAAGGTACAGCACTTAATGATATTCATAGGGTACAAATAAGCAATCAAATCATACTGGGAATATAAATTGTAAGGATACAAGTGACAAAGTTACAGTCATACAGTCACAAGTGGGAGGGGATGGGTGATAAGGAGTGATGAGAAGTTTAATAGTAATAATAATGCAGACTTTGTAAATAGTTGGACAGTGTTGAGGGAATTATTTATTTAGCAGAGTGATGGCTTTCGGGAAAAATCTGTCCTTGTGTCTAGTTGTTCTGGTGTGCAGTGCTCTATAGCGTCGTTTTGAGGGAAGGAGTTGAAACAGTTTATGTCCGGGATGTGAGGGGTCTGTAAATATTTTCACAGCCCTCTTTTTGACTCCTGCAGTATACAGGTCCTCGATGGAAGGCAGGTTGGTAGTAATCGTTTTTTCTGCAGTCCTAATTATCCTCTGAAGTCTGTGTCTGTCCTGTTGGAGAACCAAAGCAGACAGTTATAGAGGTGCAGATGACAGACTCAATAATTCCTCTGTAGAACCCTTGTCACTAAAGCAGGGATCCCCAACTCCCGGGCTGCTTGTTCGGAACCGGATCGCACAAGCGGTAGGCCGGCGCACACACACACACAGCTCGATTTGCGTTTGCAGTGGGCTGGTGTGTAGGCGTGCGCACAAGCGGTGGGTTGGCACCCTTCCTGCTGGGCTACCAGGCCATAAAAGTTGGGGACCACTGCACTAAAGGCAGGAATAGTCAACGACCCTTGGTTGCGATCACAGTTGGCTGAGTGACTTTGTCCAAAGCTGTTGAGATACTTATTTCCAGACGTCATAGCCAAAATACTGACCCATGGATCCAGTTGCCTTGTGATTTATTTATTTATTATTAGTTTTTTTAATTTATTAAATTTATTAGCTGCCCATCTTACCACAAGAATTGTTTGAGTCAAGGGTATTCGTGTATTCCGAGAAAGGATGCTTTCGTAACAAGAAACTGTTTCTTCAATCTAACCTGCATCTCCAGAGTGCTAAATGGGTGGCCATAAGGTTGAGGATAGGGCTTATCCTTGGAAGGATGTGGGGGGGGGGGGCACAGGAGAAGCACAGCAGGCCTGACTGAAGCCAGATGTTTTACCCAAACCTTCATGTAAGAGGTTTTGGAAATCTCCACTGCATTGCACCTTTTTCTGCTGTGAAAAGTGTTATGGTTATATGGTGTTAAAAGAATCTTGCGGGATGCAAGCTGTTGCAATAAAGCTGCCTTTTGCAGTTGACGGATGGAGATTTTTGTCAATGCCGACGATGTTCAAGTAGCGCTCCAGATGTTTTGGACTACACCCAAGCTGCTTATCGCTATTGGTTCTCATCTTTGTTATCATTGCCACAGTCATTCTATGTCTATTTGCAGGCTTTGTGTTTTGTGATTTTTATTATTATTATTATTATTAAAAGCTTTGAAATTATAAAAGGTATAAAAATGTCAGGCAAAGAGTAGCTGTTAATCACGCTGGGGCCATTTTACTATTTTGTTGTTACGCTTTTAGACACTGCTTGAGAGAGAGAGAGTCCATCCATGTTTGTTACAAAAGGAAAGTCTATGAATTGTTCCTAACTATCAAAATACATGTGGGTTTTTCTTCCCCCCCAACATTGAATGCAGATGCGGGCTGAAATGTACTTCCTCTCGTCTCAAAAGAACCGGCCAAGCCTGTTTGGAATGCCTCTGATTGTTCCCTGCACAGTTCACACAAGGAAGAAAGACCTGTATGATGCTGTCTGGATTCAGGTGTCTCGGCTCGCAAGCCCCCTCCCTCCCCAGGAAGCAAGTAACCATGCTCAGGATTGGTGAGTCCAGTGCTGGAATGAGGAACTGCTGAGCTCCTAATAGAGCTGATAGAAGGGAATATTTGTAGCTCAGGGTTGGAGTCCTTGGAGCTCTCTGAGGTTGGTTGATTTCTCGCAAACGTTTCATTACCCAACTAGGTAACATCATCAGTGCTGGAATGTCAACTCATAAAACATTTCTATGCCTGTTTCAGGGTTGCCACGAACGGAAGTGGGGGTGGGGAGGAAATTTGAAAGATTTTTGGTTCTCCAAAAATTTAGCGTCTCCAACTTATGCGGGGGGGTTGGACTAGATGACCTATAAGGCCCGGTCCAACTCTGGTTATCTGTTATCTGTTATTGTCAACTTTGATACTCAGCAGCAGTTTGGAACCAAAAGTGCATTCCAATCATATCTTGCAAAGATTGTAACTAAGCGGCTGGACTTTCTGCACGCAAATCTCTAATTGGAGAATGTGATTGATGACTCTTGGCTATGAACGTCTTTTCGTTGGAGAACATGAATTATGATGCACCCAAGGAGGTGTGGGGAAACCAGGGTCAAGGGTGACATTGAGTTATGTGTCTCAGAATCGGCCAACATGTTCGCTCCTAATAAATTCTTTATAGTTTTTGAAGCTTGGCTCGAGGCTCATGATTTTATTAGGGTGACTGCCGGAACCCTGATAACAAGAGAGTGGTGTTTTGCCTTTTAGCATGGATAATGTTACCTAGTTGGATAATGAAATGTCTGCAAGACAACTGAGTTCATAGAGCACCAAGGGCTCACTGCACTAATATGGCTGCAGTGTGGTAATTTTGAACATCTCGAGAAGCGAGCCAAGCTGCACAAATGTCAAGAAGAGACCATTTGGCTTATTGGAGTGCAGTGGTGCCTTGGTACACAACTGCTTTGACACTCATCCAAGAGATTGGACTGCCATTTGTCAGAAATGGTGTAGGGTCTCCAACTTATGCGAGGGGGTTGGACTAGATGACCTATAAGGCCCTGTCCAACTCTGATGATCTGTTATCTGTTATTGTCGACTTTGATACTCAACATATTTTGCCTTGAAAGTTTTGTCCCGGTCCTCATTGTTTGTTTGATACTTGATGGACAAGCTAGCATTTGTCAGTATCGGCTATCTTATGATTCACTGCATTATTCTTTATGGGAAAAATTTGTTAGATACTTATCATTTTTGATAATCATCGTACCTTCCAGAACCAGTTAAGATGATTACCAAGGTACCACTATATTGGCCTTCAGCTGACAAATCCAAATTCTCAGTCTTTGAGCTCACTAGGTGGCTTTGGGCTGGTTAAGTCATTTTCAATCTTTATTTAAAGTAGGAGTGGGTGAGAGAGAAAGTACCTTGGGACAATCAGAAGAATGTCTCTTCAATCAGGCCTTTTAACTCAGAAAGGCACATAGGGGAAAATCAGGTAATCTATATATATAAAAGCGAAATATCACTCAAACATCATCACAAAATCTCCAGAACCGTAAAGCCTACAAACTTGAAATTTGGCACTTATGTTCCTCTTGGCTTCTAGGTGCTCACTAAGAAAGGATTTTTCGAAATGACCATCAGAACATTAATATTTCGAACATTAGTATTATTAACACGCTCTGATGCTAAGGAGTTCTACTCCCCCTCCCCACCTGAAAAGAAATCTGTTCCAAATGCAAAACACCAGCAGAGGAGAGGAGTTTCAGTTTCAGTTTCACACCACCAAGCAGCTTCAGTGCAGAACAGTTGAGCTAAGCCCCGCCCAGGCTCCTTGCTGTCTCATTCTTGCTCACACAGCAAATACTGTTTCACTTTCCAAACAGCCCTCAACTCTCTCACACACTGACAGGACACTAGCCTGATGAATACTGATGGATGCTGGTAGGCAGAGGCAGAATTCCCCCCCACCCTTATTTTCCTCCCCAAAAACTAAGCCCGACCACATAGTTTTATGGGTATCGAGTTAGTCCAGGATAAAAATTTTAACTGGTGGTTTGCAAGTAGTCCTCAATTGTCATCCACGATTGGAATTTCCATTGCTAATCAAGGCGTCGTCTGTTCATTGAATCACACCTGACCTTTTTTTTCCCACACTTGTTAAGTGAATCGCTGCAGTTGTTAAGCGAAACATGTGGCCATTAAGCGAATCTGGCTTCCCCCATTGACTGCTTTGTCAGAAGCCGTCTGGGAAAGTCACAAACGGGAATTACGTAGCCCTGGGAGGCTGCGATCATTGTAAATCCGTGCCAATTGCCAAGTGCCCATAGTTTGACTGTAAGGATTCTGTGATGATCCTAAATGCAAGAACTGGTTGTAAATCAGGTTTTTTTCAGTGCCATCGTAACTTCAAAACAGTTGCGAAATGAATGGCTGTAAATTGAGGACCACATGTACCCTATTCAAGGGCTATCTTGGCAGAAAAGAGAAATGTGAAAATATCTTGGTTTGCATCCATCTAGAGGAGGGAGGTCAAACGTCCCACGTGCCAGATGCGTCACATGCTGGCCCTGCCCGGTTTAGCGATTCTTGAACCGAGTCCAAGGATTGCCAATTTCCCAACCCGGCTTAAAAGATCAGTGAGCAATGACAGAAATTAAATCCGAAGAGTCTTAGCACATTAGAAATAACAATGTGCGTGTCTGTGTGTTTTCCTTAGTGACGACAGCTTGGGATATCAGTACCCTTTCACCCTTCGGGTGGTTCAGAAAGATGGCAACTCCTGTGCCTGGTGCCCCTGGTACAGGTGAGTTCTGCTGGGTTTGTCCAGTTCTCCCTCTCTTATGCTCTGTCTTTCAGCCCTCTGTCTGTCTGTATGTCTATCCCTATCATCCATCCATCATCTGTCAGTCTGTCTGTCTATCCGTATCACCCACCCATCTATCTATCTATCTCCATCTATCCATATCATCCATACCTATCTGTCTGT